TGAAAGATTCGGGCATTTTCTTTTTTTCATTAGTCCCTCTCTCCTGGATGCTTTCCAGAAGTAGGATGGCAGTAACAAACTGACTATATAAGAAACAATCAATAAGAAGTCAATTATATCACAAAAAGCAGACAGTAAATTTGTATATAGTTAAATCATGAAAAGATTAGCTTTATTACAGCTTATATTTTTCCCAAAAGAAAGTGGTGAATTTGATTTTATTATTACTGTTTTACTACTGCTGAATTACATTCTAAATTCTGTTAAATATTCTGATTTCATTTAATGATTGATGATTCTATAATTGATTGTTTCTATTACTTTTTATTTATTTAAATTCTTTCTTGATTGATGGATTTTTGGAGGCATTCTTATCCTTCTAGTGCTTCCAAGTATTTGGCTTCGTAGAAGAGGAGAAGAAAAACTGGAGCGCTGCACGTGATCACTGCAGAAACCTAGGAGGAAACCTGGCTAGTATACCAAACAAAGCTGTTCAAGGTACAATCACTTCTCTAAATCATATGAATTACATAAGCTTAACATTTCTTTTAAAATCCAGCTCTTACTTTAATGATAAGAATTTTTATGCCCAATCTTCTTTCCTAACCTCCAGTATATATAATCTTTTGCCACTTGGAAAAAGGCGAAATATATTTGTTTGTTTGTTTGTTTGTTTATTGTTTACTTACTTATTTACTTACTACCTGCTTACTTACGTATTTAAATTTATGTAGCTGCCTATTTGCTCACAGTTACTCTAAGTGGATTATAGATAATAAAAACACAATGTAGAAAAAATGAAAATAATAAAGTAATAATAAAATAAAATAAAACCCCCATCCAACCACCCTCAGTGACAACACACACTCAAATCAGCTATCTAATGAGCTCCATCCCACTCTGGGTTCTCCAGCAAAACCACATATTCAGGACCTTAAGAAAGAGTCTAATTTCCAGGAGAGATGATGTTCCAGAGGGAAGGAGTCACCACATAGAAGGCCCTTCTTCTGGGTCTCATCAGATGTATCCCTTTATGGAATAGGGTCTGCAACATTCCTTGCCTCCCCGCTCTAGTGGGTTGGGTGGATGTGATTGGCAAGAGACAGTCCCTCAGATAACCTGGTTCCAAGCAATGAAGAGCTTTAAGGGTGGTAACCAGAAGGTTGAATTATACCCTGAAACAAATTGGCAACCAATGAAGTTCCCACAGCAGAGGTGACACATGTACACACTAAGGCCTCCCAAAAACAATCTGAGTTGCTGCATTCTGAACCAACTGGAGATTCTAGATGCTTTTCAAATGTTGATATGAAAATGTTGGCACAATTCTTAGGATCTGCTCCTTCTCTATGGTCCCATGCCCATTCTTACTTCATGGTCCCATGCCCATTCTTACTCCAGAGCCGAGGTGGCACAGTGGTTAGGGTGCAATACTGCAGGCCACTTCAGCTGACTGTTATCTGCAGTTCAGCGGTTCTAATCTTACCGGCTCAAGGTTGACTCAGTCTTCCATCCTTCCGAGGTGGATGAAATGAGGACCCAGACTGTGGGGGCGATATGCTGACTCTGTAAACCACTTAGAGAGGGCTGAAAGCCCTTTGAAGCAGTATATAAGTCTTACTGCTATTGCTATTGCTATTGCTATTCCCAATTTAAAGGTTGCCATGCTGAAAATATAAAAGCAATAAGAACCCAAAGCAATTTCACAATAATATAAAAAGTGTGCATCGGTAATAATATATGAGTTAAGTATCAGTTTAAAGCAGTTACAAATGTGTAACTGGATTGTTTCAAAGCAGATTTTGTTTTCAGTTCAATCCTGATATGATTAAGTAGTTAGAACTGTTTAGCTATTTGGCCCCACTTGATAAAAGACATTTTTAGGTAGCTTGCCAGTCAGCTGCCAGGTGTGGTTTAAGTGATTGGTGATTTATAAAGCCTATCATGTCATGGAGCTTGGCTATCTGTGGAATTGCCAGAATCCAATGGTTTCTGCTTGCCAAGTACATTCACTCTGGGATCGAAGAAGTTTGTCCTCTGTATTTCAGCTCCACTTCCCCCACACGCTTTGGAGCAGGAACTTCCCAGATCTACTGACAACACTCAGGCAGACCCCTTAAGACCAGAGGTGGGTTCCTCCCGGTCTGGTACACCACAACAGGTAGTGAAAATCTGGTATACCAGAGAGACCAGTGGTAATGGTGGCTTGGCCATGTCCCCGAACCTTGGGCCATGCTCCCGTCAAAAGCTTTGTCAGAAGCTTTTTTAAAAAAATGTTTTTTTCCTGCCTGTTCAAGCAAGGGGGAAAAGCTTTAAAAAGTAAGAGAGAGAACGGGGGAGGGAGGAAGGGAAGGGAGAAAGAAAGAGAAAGAAAAGAAAGAAAGAAAACGAAGGAAGGAGGCTTACTTTTTAGCCAGGAGATTCAGCAAAGGAGAAAAACAAATGCTGTCACTTTAAATTGGAACTGAGCATTCCTGGCTGTGGAATTCTGGGAGTTGAAGTCCACAAGTCTTAAAGCTGCAAACTTTGGAGTCCTGCTTTAAGTTGAAAAGCTGCTCGGAAGGAGGTTTGCAAAGTGACATTCAGCAGTTATTTTGGGGGAGGGGTGGTTGCTTCCCACAGCGGGAAGGGAGAAAGAAAGAAAGAAAGAAAGAAAGAA